CTGAAAAGGAAAGCAGGAGGGAGAGAGAGAAAAGCAAAAGGAAGTGATACGACTTTTTTTTTTTTTGGTTTTGGTTTTCTTTTTGGTCCATGCTGGCCTATACAGAGGGGATCACTCCTGGCAGTGCTCAGGGGACCCTATGGGATTTCAGGGATCGAACCCAAGTCAGCAGCGTGCAAGGCAAATGCCCTCCCCGCTATACTGTCTCTTTGGCCTCCTGATTGCAGGAGGTTTAAAAATTTTTTTTCTTCAAAAAGCAAACATTCCCGGATGGACGCACATGAATTCCCACGGCGGCAGCGTACAGCGTCCTTAAATAAACCGAAGGAGGCTGAGCCTTGAAGTGGCTCCCATCACTGTGAGATAAATACCTTCCACAGCCATAGCACGGGCGGGGGGGGGGGGCATCGGCTTTGCCCACGCCATCCTGGGTTTGATTCGGCATCCCATATGGTCCCCCAGGCACCTCCATGAGTAATTCCTGAGTGCAGAGCCAGGAGTCAGCCCTGAGCATCGCTGGGTGTGCCCCAAAAAGCCATAAACAAACAAACAAACAAGCAGCTTTTAGGGGCCTTAGCCTTGGCACAGCAGGGAGGGCACTTGCCTTGTACACGGCCAACCCACGTTTGCCCCCCTGGCATCCCCAAGGGTCCTCCATGACCCACCAGGAGTGATCCCTGAGCACAGAGCCAGGAGGAAGACCTGAGCGTGGCCAGGTGTGGCCCCCAAATAAACTCAAAACAAAACAAAAGGAATAAACACATTTGGGAACAGGGCACTGGCTCAATCGGAGGGACCTTCATGGGCCACTTTGGCGCCATGGGGGAATGCTTCCTTTTAATCTGTCTCAGCCCGTCCGTCTGCCTGTCTGTCTGGGTCCTCAGAGTAGGAAGGTTAGGGATGGTTGGGCGAGGGATGGCGCAGGGGTCAGAGGCACTGAATTTGATCCCCGATGCCATATACCCCCACACACACCTGCCTGGTGCACCTCCTGCCCCCAGTTTCATTGTAGCTGATCGGTGCCCCCAAACAGTCACCACATCCCATTGCCAGTTTGGCCCGGTTAGCCAAGAATCCTCAGCAGTGGCCCCTGTCCCTCCAGAGCACTGCTTGGGAGGACCCCCAGATAGAGTCGGGGTTGGAATGCACACTGCCTGTTTCTCTGGGGAGGGGGCTAAGGTGGCGGCTTTGCACGCAGCTGACCCTGGTTCAATTCCTGGCTCCGCACGGTCCCTTGAGCACTGCCGGGAGAGTCTCTAAGCCCAGAGCCAAGGAGCAAACCCTGAGCACTGCTGGGTGTGGCCCCCAACCAAACAAATGAAAAAGATGGGACCAGGGGCCAAGAGAGATAATGGGGGGGGGGCTGTTGTTAAAGTGCTGGCCTGGCACTCAGACAACTGGGTTCAATTCCCAGCTTGACATGGGGTCCCCCAGACCCTGCCGGGAGCAATCCCTGAGCACAGATCCCCAAATAAGCCCAGGGTAAGAGAGAGAGAGAGAGCGGGGGAGAGGGAGAGAGAGAAAGGGAGAGAGAGATGGAGAGAGGGAAGGAGAGAGGGAAATAGAGAGAGGGAAAGAGAGGGAAAGAGGGAGGGAGAGAGGAAGAGAGGAGATGGAGAGAGATGGAGAGATGAGAGGGAAGGAGAGGGGGAGGGAGAGAGATGGAGAGAGTGAGAAAGGGAGGGAGTGAGAGATGGAGAAAGAGAGGGAGGGAGATGAAAAGAGGGAAGGAGAAAGGGAAATGGAGAGAGGGAGGGAAAGAGAAAGAGAGGGAGGAAGGGAGGGAGGGAGAGAGGAAGAGAGAGGAGATGGAGAGGGAGAGAGGGAGAGATGGAGAGATGAGAGGGAGGGAGGGAGAGGGCATGGAGAGAGGGAGGGAGAAAGAGAGGGAGAGAGATGGAGTGAGAAAGGGAGGGAGGGAGAGATGGAGAAAAAGAGGGAGGGAGAGGGAGAGAGAGCATGCACAAAAGAGGAGGGGAGAGCAGGTCGGGGTTTGCCTTGCCTCTGGCCAAATCCCGGCATCCCATATTGTCCCCAGATCCCTGCCAGGTGTGCAGAGACATGAGTAACCCCTGAGCATCACGGGGTGTGGTCCCAAAACAAAACCGAATTGAAAAGTCCGTGCTTGGGTGCCTGAGCGATAGTCCAGCAGAGAGGGCATTTGCTTTGCATGCCTCCAACGCGGGTTCGATCCCATAGGGTCCCCGAGCACCGCCAGGAGTGACCCCTCAGTGCAGAGCCAGGAGTAACCCCTGAGCATCAACGGGTGTGACCCAAAAAGCCAAAAATAAATCATATCTGCGCTTCCCCATGCCCCAACCTCTGGCCAAATCAGAACACAAAGGAAGGACACGCCATGCCCTGCCCGGGTTGTGGGGAGCGCGGGTGGCCCCCAGATCCCCTTCTGCACCAGGTGGGAGCAGCCATTTCCCCTTTCGGGGAGTGTTTCGGGTTGCAGTCTGTGACTCAGGTCGCGAGCTGGAACCCACCCTGTGGGTCTACCTGGCCCCTGACCTCCTGCTGGGAAGGAGGCCCGTGAAGTTCAGGCCCCAAAGGGGAAGTGGGAAGGTCCCTTTCCCACTCGGGGTCCCGTCAGCTTCCTCCTTTGCCACTTGGTTCCCAACCGAGGGGGGATGGGAAGTGGGGGGAATGGTATCTTTTGCTTTTTTTCTTTTTGGGTCACACCCGGTGATGCACAGGGTTTACTCCTGGCTCTGTGCTCAGGAATCACTCCTGGCGGTGCTGAGGGACCCTCATGGGATGCTGGGATTCGAACCCGGGTCGGCCACATGCAAGGTAAACGCCCTCCTCGCTGTGCTATCGCTCCAGCCCCTCATTTGCTTTGTATTGGGTGTGTGGGGGTGCTACAGGGCCTCCCCCAGCGGTGCTCGGGGCTCCTCCTGGCTCTGTGCTCAGGCGTCACGCCCTGAGGCGGGGCTGGGGATCAAACCCGGGTCGGCTGTGTGCAAGGCAAGTGCCCTACCCACTGCGCTAATATCCCACTAGCCCTGCTGTCCTGCACTCATTCAGGACTCTTGGAACCTAGAAGCAGTCGCTTGTTCACTCATTCAGTTGTACACTCATTCATACCTCACTTATTCATTCATTCACTGATTCATTTGTCCACTCATTCCTTCCCTCGTTCATTCATTCACTCATTCATCCTTCACTTATTCATTCACTGATTCATTTGTTCACTCATTCCTCACTTTTTGTTCACTCATTCCTTCCCTCATTCGTTCACTCATTCATTCCTCATTTCTTCATTCGCTCATTCATTTGTTCACTAATTCTTCCCTCATTCATTTATTCACTCATTCATTCACTTATTTATCTCTCATTTATTCATTCACTCACTGATTTGTTCATTCCGTCCTCATCCATCTATTCATTCATTTCTTCACTCATTCATTCCTCACTTCACTTATTTCTCACTTTTTCATTTATTCATTTGTGCACTAGTTCCTTCCCTTATTCATTTGTTCACTCATTCCTTCCCTCAATCACTCATTCACTCACTCCTTTATCCCTCACTTATTCATTCACTCATTGATTGATTCATTCCTTCCTCATCCATCTACTCATTCATTCTCACCCCTTCACTCATTCATTTCTCACTTGTTCATTCTTTCATTTGTTCCCTCATTCTGCCATTCACTCATTTCTCACTCATTCATTTATTCCATCTCACTGGACCCTCCAATGGGGGGGAACCCTATGGGATGCTGGGGATCGAACCTGGGTGGGCAAGCATCCTCCCCATTGTCTTATCACTCAGTGACAGGGTACGTACGTTCTGGTACCTTGTCATGCTGGAGCGATAGCACAGTGGGTAGGGCGTTTGCCTTGCACGCAGCCAACATGGCCAACCCGAGTTCGATTCCTCCGCCCCTCTCAGAGAGCCCGGCAAGCTAGCGAGAGTGTCTCGCCCGCACGGCAGAGCCTGGCAAGCTACCCGTGATGTATTCGATATGCCAAACACAGTAACAAGTCTCACAATGTTACTGGGCCCGTTCGAGCAAATCGATGAACAAAGGGAGGACAGTGACAGTGACAGTCATGCCCAGGACATAATTCAATTCACCCTCCACCTCATTTTCTATCTTTCTTTCTTTCTTTCCTTTCTTTCTTTCTTTCTTTCTTTCTTTCTTTTGCTTTTTGAGTCACACTCAGTAACCCCTGGCCCCGCACTCAGGAATTACTCCTGGCGGCGCCTGGGGGACCATATGGGATGCTGGGAATCAAACCCCGGGTCGGCCACATACATGGCAAACACCCTACCCACTGCTCTATTGCTCCAGCCTTTCCACCTCCTTTCTGGTCCTGCCTCGACCTCAGTTTTTAGCCTGAACACCTTTCAGGGTGGAATTCCAGGAGGTGGGAGTCCTTACTCTTACCCCTCCAGCACCCTAAAACATCTTATGGTCTTAAGCCTCTATGGTGGGTAGCGATCGTAGTTGGGGGCGGGGGGGGTGATAGGGTTACACTGGTTGGCGCTCAGGGCTTCCTCTTGACTCTGTGCTCAGCCTTGCTGGGGGGCTCACACAGCGGTGGTCAGCCGCATGCAAGGCGATTGCTGTACCCCTGTTCTACCTCTCCCGTCCTAAGAAGCACTTTTTTTCCCCCAACTTTGGTTTGGTTTGGGGTGGGGGGCACACCCGGCTGTGCTCCGGGCTCCCTTCTGGCTCTGCATTCAGGGATCACTCGTGGCGGGACTCTAGATGAGGTGCCGGGCTCTATCTGTGGGGTGCCGGGAGAATGTAAACCGAGAGTGGAGAGTGGACCCTGTCTGCAAGGCAAGCGCCCGCCCCACCGTCCTCTCTCTTCGCGGAGGAACACTTTCCCCTTGAGCGTCCCCAAGAAGCTGTGACCGTTTCTCCACCCACTTCCCGACTCGGAGCCAACCCCTCCCCATCCCAGGCCCTCCCACCACATCCCCACACCTGGGATGTCCCCCACCCGCGCGCACGAGGCACGGCCGGCCGAGGCTGGCCGCTTACCGGTCCGTGGCGCCCAGCGGGGGCGCGATCTCTGCCCCGCTGCTCTGCTCTTGCAGCCGCGTGCGCTCGCGGCTCTCAGTCCGGCCGAGCTGCGAGCTGGTGGACCTCACGGAGGCCTCGTGGGCCGGGTGGCCGGCCAGGCTGCAGCGGAAGAGCTGCTGGTAGGCGGTGCGGAAGTCGCGGTTGAGGGCTCCGTAGAGGATGGGGTTGAGGGCCGAGTTGGCGTAGCCCAGCCAGAGGACCACCGCCTCCAGCACCTGGTTGATGCCCCCGTCCCCCATCAGCCCGCGGTACAGGAAGACGGAGAAGTAGGGGAACCAGCAGACCACGAAGGCGCCCATGACGGCGGCCAGCGTGACCGTGGCCTTGTGCTCGCGCACCGTGGCCGCCTGCCACGAGCCCTCCTGCTGGATGCGGCGCGCCTGCTCGCGGGCGATCCTGAAGATGCGGTAGTAGGTGACGCACATGACCAGCAGCGGCAGGTAGAAGGTGACCAGGCCGTCCACCAGCCCGTACACCAGGTTCACCTCCACTTTGCACGTGCGCACTGCGTCCTGGGTCCCCGCCGCCGCCGTCGCCGCCGCCGCCACCCCACGGTGGTGGCGCCTGTTCCAGCCCAGGTGGATGGACAGGAAGGACAGGGTGATGGACACGGCCCAGATGAAGACCAGGGAGGCGGCCACACGCGCCGGCGTCACGCGCACCGGGTAGCGCAGCGGGTCGGTGACGGCGCAGTAGCGGTCCAGGCTGATCATGAAGAGGTTGAGGATGGACGCTGTGCACAGCATCACGTCCAGGCTGGTGTAGATGTCGCAGAAGGCGGGGCCCAGGTCCCAGACGAAGGTCAGCTGGTAGAGGGCCGAGAAGGGCAGCACAAGCAGGCCCAGGAGCAGGTCGGTGATGGCCAGCGACACGATGAAGCAGTTGGTGAGGCTCCGCAGCCGCCGGTTCAGGCCCACGGCCAGGCACACCACCACGTTGCCGGCCACCGTGATGACGATGAGCAGGATGAGGACCACGCCCACGGGGATGTTCAGGGGCCGCGGCTCCTGGCCGGGGTGGGTCGTGTTATTGGCGTCCATGATGCAGCAGCGCTTCCTCCTGGCACCCCCCACCCCACTACCCCAGGCTGCCCCCCCCACCCCGCCCCCCACCGTCAGTGGGGCGGAGGGGCGCCCAGCGACTTCAACCGTGCCACAGAGCTCCCCCCGAATCCAGACGCGGGGATGGTCTTCCAAGCCGCCTTCCGAGGAGGTGTGCGGTGAGCGGAGGCATGAGGGGGAGAGAAGAGCGGAGGCTTGGGAGTGAGGTTTCTGGGGGCTGTCGGATATCACTGGCACCTTTGCTTAAGGACGGCAGCTGTTGGGTGATCCTGGGACGCTGCTTCTCCATGACTGGCTGGCCGTGTGAGCCATCCCCAACATCCCCAGGTGCTCCCTCGGAGGCTCACGGGAGAACAGGAGCTGGAAGTGCAAAGGTCCTGGGGTGAGCTTTTGGAATCAGATCATGAGCAGGCCATGGATTCTAGACCAAGCCTTTGATTTCTTGATTTTTCTGGAAGGTGGGGGTTGAGCCACACCTGGTGATGCTCAGACCTGACTCCTGGCTCTGTGCTCAGGGATCACTCCTGGCAGGGCTCAGAGGACCCCTAATGGGATGCCGGGGGATTGAACCCAAGTTGGTAGCATGCAAAGCACATGCCCTCCCTGCTGTACGATTGTTCTGGCCCCCTTAAATTCATTAGATATTAGTGGGGCTAGTTAGTTTGTTTGGTTTGGCGCCACCCCTGATGATGCTCAGGGGTTACTTCTGGCAGGCTTGGGGGATCCAGTCTGAGTCAACCACATGCAAGGCAAAATGTCTGCCACACTGATCTAGCTCTCCATGCCCGCTCCCCCAACCCCTCAAGTTCTTTTTTTAACTCCTTTTTTTCCTTTTTGGGTCATACTCAGCACTGCTCAGGGCTGACTCCTGACTCTGTACTCAGGAATCACTCCTGGTGGTGCTCAGGGAATCCTCTGGGATGCCGGGGATTGGATCTGGTCAGCCACGAACAAGGCAAACACCCTCCCCACTGTCTATCGCTCCGCCCAAGTTGTTCTTTACTCTTCTGTTGCTGTCCTATCACGCTGGCTCCTCCGCAGATCCTTTTTTTCTGAGCAGCCACACCCAGGTTGGCCAGGCCGATGCACTGAGCCTGTCCAGCAGCTGCATGGCTTCCCATGAGGATGGCCAATCATGTCCTAGCCTTTCCTGTCAGGGGTCCTGGGGGACTTCCAGTTCATTTGTTCTTTTGTTTCTTCCTCCTTCCGTTCCACCCTTTCTTGCCTTCATCCATTCTTCTATGTCTGGCCTCCCTCCCATCCATCCTGCCTTCCCTTCGCCCATTCTTCCATCCATCCTTCCATTCTCTCACCCATTCTCCCATCCGTCCTTCCTTTCGCCCTCCCATCCTTCTCCCATCCATCCTTCCATTCAGGCTTCCTTCTTAGTGTAGCTGTCCTTCCTTCTTCCCATCTCCATTGGCTGTCCTTCCTTTCCTTTCTCTCAATTATCAATCATTCCTTTACTTCATCCTTTCTTCCTCCCATCCTCTCTATCCTATGATCCTTCCACCTACCCACCCACTCACCCATTTTGTTATCCACCATTCTGCCCAACTGTCTTTCCATCCATTCATCCATTCATTCCATCCACTTAACCATCCACCCGCCCATCTATCCATCCATTCCATCCGACCATCCATCCCATCCAACCATCCATCCACCCATTAATCTATCTCCATTCACCCATCCATCCATCTATCCATCCATCCATCCATCTATCCATCCATCCATTTTATCCATCTAACCATCCACCCATCTATCTGTTAATTCCATCCACATAACCATCCATCCACTAACACATCCATCCATCCACCCACCCATCCATCCATCCTTCCATCTATCCATCCATCCATCCATCCATCCATTCATCCATCCATCCATTTTATCCATCTAACCATCCACCCATCTATCTGTTAATTCCATCCACATAACCATCCATCCACTAACCCATCCATCCATCCACCCACCCATCCATCCATCCTTCCATCTATCCATCCATCCATCCATCCACCCATCATCCATTCCATCCAACCATTCACCCACCCACCTATCCATCCATCCATCCATCCATCCATCCATCCATCCACTCACCCATCCATCCATTCATCTATCCACCCACCCACCTATCCATCCATCCCTTCCATCCATCCATCCATCCATTCATCCATCCATCCATCCATCCACTCACCCATCCATCCATTCATCTATCCACCCACCCACCTATCCATCCATCCCTTCCATCCATCCATCCATCCATCCATCCATCCATCCATCCATTTCATCCATCTGACCACCCATCCATCTATCTATCCATCCATTTCATCCATCTAACCATCCATCCATCCATCCTCCCACCCACTCACCCATTCAGCCTCCTCCTTCTCCCTCCTCCCCACGCTGCAGACCCCCCTTCAGCGGAACATCTGCACACTCCACGCTCCTGTGTTAACCCTCAGCGCCTCCCTCCCCATGGCGATCCCTCCTTCCTCCAGCCCAGGGGCTCAGCCCAGCGGCTCAGCCCCTGCCAGTGCCTGAGCTTTTCACACCAGCGAATCCTGGTTTTCTAGAGAGCAGTCGGGCGGCGGCAGCAGCAGCAGCAGTGACACTCTCCAGAGATTGAGGAGCGTGCAAAAATCAAGTGGACAGCGGAAGGCGCGCAGACGCATTGCTGATCTCCCACTGAACGGAAATGAGGCCTCTCCTGGCCCCCCCAACTCCCACCCCAGAAGCTGGTAGGGGGAGCACCATGGGGCGAGGATCAAGCGCAGAGCTGATATGGAGATCAGACTCTTTCTTGGACACCTCTGCTGCTCTCCAGCTGCTCCAGCCAGCCTTGCACACCGGGCCCCGGGGAATTATTTTTAGAAGATCTTTTCATTACACAAATAGACCCAACAAGCGTGCCTCACTCGGCCTCGCTTCATTATCCCTGGAGCGGGCTGCAGCCGGGGCATCTCGCCGGAGAATCTCAATGGCTGATTACACGTTTCCCAGACATTTCTCCGGCGGGTCTGGGTAGGTTGGCGACGGCGTCGGTGTGACGTGTGACAGCCTGCTTTGGAGCCCTTCAGATGGGAGTGACACAGGGAGTCGCAGGGAATCCGGAGTTCGTACTTCCCTCGCGCCCCCCCCCCCTTTCTCTTCCCTCCCGATCTCGTTTGGTTTGGTGCAGTTTCCCCCACCCACCCAAAGTGATTTCTTTCACACTCGACCCTGTGCCGGCCACTATTCCGGGAGCTAGAAGTTCAGTGAGAACCAGCAAAGCAGAGGGGCCCTTTGGGGTTTGGATTCAACGCATCAGGGGCCAGAGAGACAGTACAGTGGGGAGGATGCTAGCCTTGCACACTGCTGATCTGGGTTCGAGGCCTGGCATCCACCGGGATTCCCCCCAAGAACTTCCAGGAGTGGTCCCTGAGCACAGAGCCCGGAGTCATCCCAGAACACCGCTGGGTGTGACCGAACCCTCTCCCCAGCGAAATTCACACGGCCCTACAGAACAATGTCGATTTCCTTCCTGAATGTTTGGGATTCCATATCGAATGGGGGGAAATCAGAAAATAACGTCAAAGGAGCAAAATGATTCAAAATGTTGTCACTCGGGGCTGGAGCCTTGTCCAGCGAGGAGGGCCTTTGCCTTGTGCTTGTGCGGCTGACCTGGGATTGATCCCCAGTATCCCATAGAAGCTCCCCAGCACTGTCAGGTATGACCCCTGAGCACAGCCAGGTGTGACCCAAAAAGCAAAAAAAAAAAAAGAAAAGAAAAGAAAAGTTCCTTGCTTCAATGAAGCTATTTGCAAACCTGGAGTCAGCCAGTACCTGCTCTTTCTTCTACTTTTGTGTGTTTTTATTTTATTTTATTTTTTATTTTTTGCTTGTTTGTTTGGGAGCCCACCTGGCAGTTCTCAGGGCTGAATCCTGGGTTCTGTACTCAGTGGTCACTCCTGGCAGGGCTCGGGGACCCAGTGGGATGCCGGGGATCGAACCCAGGCTGGGTACGTGCAAGGCAAATATGCTCGCTGCACTATCCAGCCCGACTTCCCCACCAGTCCGATGGCCCGCGTGTGGGTAAGATTCAGCTCTTCCTTCCCTGCCTTTGTCCTCTGACTCTGCATTGGGCTTTCTGGTTTCTCCCATCTCCCTCCTCTTGCTGGCTGCTGCCCCGGTAAGGCCCAGCTCCAGTGCCTCTGTCTCCCCATGCCGATGGGACAGGAGCACCATTGTATGCTCTGAACAGGGTCCTTCTGCTGGTACCTGAGGCCTTAATCTGTCCTTATGGCTCTGTGTCCCCCAGCAGGGCTTTCTCTCTACTCTCCCTGTCTGCCCATCCGTCTGTGTATCCCATCCCCATATCCATCAATCGTCCAACTGTTCATCTAACCCCCCTCAACTGTCCTTCCATCCATCCACCATGCATCCATGTACCTATTCATGCATATCTATCCATCCGTTCATTCACCCATTCGTCTGTCTATTCATCCATCCACCCAACCACCCTTTTTTCTGTGCCTCTCCCATATACCTACCCACCATCCATAGTTTATCCATCTGCCCATCAGCCAGTCAGCCATGCATGTACCTGTCCATTCTTACATCTGTCCACCCATCTACTACCCATCCATTCTATCTATCCATCATCTACCCCTATCCATCTTTCACTCATCATCCATCTATCCATCCATCTTACCATCTATCCACCCAACCACATCTCTGTTCATCCATCCACCCACCCATCCTTCCATTCATCATTTATGTATCCTGCCATCCATTTTTCCACCCACCCATTCATCCATCCATCCCATACATCGCTCCATCCATTCACAAACCCATCTTCCATCCATCCATCCACCCATCCAATTACCATCTGTCTATCCATCCATTTATCAATTTACCCATCCATCATCCATCCATCCTCCACCCAGGCACCTACCCATCCATTGACTCATCTGTCCATCTATCCATATACTCACCCATTCACCCATCATTCCATTCACCCATCCAT